TCCTCCTTTTGTGGTTAGAAATCTTAAGGTATAATCTCGCGCCCAAATTTTATTCTTTTCTCCACTTGATTGTCCAAGTTTGTTACAGGAATTGAACTGGTCTGAACAGAAACTGCTAATGTTTTGGGCTATTTTTTTTGATGAATTGTGTAATTTGTACAGATCACCTTTTCAACTTACAAAATCTGAAGCCTATTGGAGTAACCATGGACTAGAAACCCTAAGATTCAGACACTATTACCAAATCAGGTATCAGGTGTAAGCTTTCATTAAACAATGCATGTAAATAAGATAATTTTCAGCCACGTGGATGTATTTACTTAAGTTAATGAAATTTACTGGTGATCCATGATTCCATGATCACAAACACTGAGACACGTGTTTAAGTTTATGTTTGTATATCTTAGATACGAAGGGATATGCTTACATTAGTTAGTACTTAGTAGACCCCATATAATATGAATCTCATCTCATGTGTTTATCGTTTTGTTTTTGTCTTATTTTTTAATACAGTTTTTGCTCTGGGGGGGAGTCAGAAGGGGGATGGTGAGCATAGCTTCCGTCCATAAAATATTATGCAGATCTCACGTGTTCATCCTTTTGCCTTTTGTCTTATTTATGGTTACCTTTTTTGCTCTTAGGGGAGAGGGCTGAGAATACTTCCGTGAAACTTTGTGCTTCTTCCAAAAATAAATTAATGTTATAATTAGAATGAAATGAGACAAGACAAACTGGTTAAGATTGGGAAGAGTTGTTAAGTTTGTTCATATTTAATCAAGAGAAACAAAAGTAGCTTTTAACTTTTGAGCCTTTGATTAGACCAAAGACAAATCACTAAGTAGATAAATTTTTATTCATGCTATCTCTTTTTGCTTATAAGTTATTGGTTCTTTGGATAATCATCCCACCCTTCCCTGTCACACAGTTTTGAATTTTTTAAGTTTAAATTAGAGCCATGCGATGAAGAATTATGTAGAAAATAATATATGTTCCCTGCGGACACCTACAAGCTTCCAGATTAATGTTTGGCAAATAGGAAATGGAATGAAGAATCATTTTAATAGTCTAAGAATGACGGACTATGACCCTACAGAATCAGATAGATCTCATATTGTTTTAGGCTTAAAAAATTTAAACTTTCTTAACTTAGTAATGTTTTGTTATTGGGTCAGACCTGTCAACTGCTGGGAATGCAGGATCCTACAGGCAATATGCTAGTTGAATTCTCACCACAGCCACATTCCTAGGTGGTTCACTCTTCAGTATATACTTTGGTTGAAGTTGCTTGATAGGTGGCTTAATCTGGAGTGAAATTTTGGGCTGAGGGGACTCAGAGTGTCTTAAGATTAGTAAGCTAATAATTTCTCATGAGACCTTGACAAGTTATAGAGGAAAGACTTATTACTCATGGCATCAAGGCAATCTTATGATGGATGTCTTTTACTCCCTCCATTTCGTAAAATCGCAACACTTTCCTTTTACATCCGTTTTATAATAATTGCAACACTTCTTATTTTGGTAAGGACCCACTAGTATTTTAATATTTCTCTCCAACTAACCCCCTTTACATGAATATTTTATTATTTCTCTCTCCTACTAACCCCACTTACACTACTTTTTTTTTATTATTATTTCTCTCTCCTCCTAAATATTAAATATCCTCACTTATTATATCTTATACGAAGTATTATAAAATTCACCCCATGATACCTACCTTATAAATTTCCTAAAACTATGTGCAAAGCCTATTATTGCGATTATTACGAAACGGAGAGAGTATTTATTTATTTTTTTATATTTTTATGATTATCAATTTGAGCACTGTGGTAATCTAATCATGGCAGTGTGCAATTTGAAATATTTGATTTCATTCTTGTTTTTTAAAATTTTGCTTAATTATTTGTTGCATTGTCATACCATTTGATCGCCCCAATTGTTTTTGACAAGGGTTTTACCATTAGAGGGGATAGGGTATTTTGGACTTTTGGTACATATGGCCATCTGAGATCTTTAAATTTTTGTTTCTGTTGCTACTCAAAGCAGTTGCTAATGATTTCTCTGACTGATGGAAGATTTTGTATTGGTTATATGATCAGTTGAGGAAAATTCATTCTGGATAAAAGGAAGTTAAGGCCTTGAATGGGACTTGGGATTCAATTGGCATTTCTACTTTGTTTGGTACAAGGTTATAAGGGAATGGTAATGAGTTTGTGATGCTAAATCGAATGTCCCGTTTGAATATCTATGGTCATGCATCTCTGCTATTATTTTATTTGTCATTGGTTTTCATTGTTTAATTCCACTCACACCCATGTTAACAGTTGGTAAAAAGTGGTAAATAAAATAAATGAAGAATATACATCTTCATAGTGTGATATATAACCCTGGACATTCTAATGGAACAATTCGTGGAAGATTTTGAACTCATTATCATTCCCGTAACTAATAACCTTGTACTAAACAAACTGCAAGCAAAAGAAATGAAGGTAAATAATGTGCTAGCTTACTTATTCTGTGTTTTTCTGATTATATAAATTCATTAATGATGATAGTGTTCACATTGCTTTGTTCTTTTTTATTGGGAGATGTTTTTGTTGATGAAACGTGATGAACTATATTTGAGATTAACATGAGAGTGAGGGACAACTCAAGTGGTTAGAGTACCTCCCGATTCCAGGAAATCTTGGGATCGATTCTCATTACATGCTTTTGTGGCTCTCTAAAAACCAAAAAAAAAATTGAGATTAACATAGCTCTTTTTATTTTTTATTTTTTATCGTCCCTCCTTTTGACCTACAAGACTCCCAGTTTGTAGCTTGCTACTGTTTTCATATAGTCGTGTAGTAAAAACAAAAGTGCAAGTGCTTTTGTGCTGTCAAAAATTTCAGCAATTGTTGACGAATATGTGTTAGCATCTAAAATATTAAATTAGTTCAAAATGTGTACAAATACGGCTTTGAATTTCTTGTGTGGCCTTGGAGTTGCTCATGACCTCAAAAATATGGTTAAATACATGTTAGTTTGACAAATGACTACAATGTTGGTTGAAGGGAAGTAGATAGTAAACGTCATTTTATATTGTGTGCCTTCTTTAGATAGGCTTACATGGGTTGACTACTTTATAGGCATCATGCACTATGCTGATAATCTAACTATTTCATCATGAAATCTTTTTGGTTAAACGTGGAAGTTTCATGCATATAACTGTAATAAAATGTTAGATTATTTTAATAGTTAAATAGTTTACTTCAGCAGCCGAGAAGTGGTTCCTGAGTGAAAAAGCAACTTAGTTCGAGACTTTGAGTTCTGTTATATATTTCGAATACTTGTCTAGCACTGCAAGAATCAAAATAAGGCGAATCAGTTCTGTTCAAAGGATGATCTATTAAACACTGCTGTTCTTTACCCTGCTTAAAATTTGTAACATATTATGGTCTTGGGACAACACGAAACTGGGTAACTGTTTATATAACTGCATGTTAAATTTCGAACACTGGGTAACTACTTTATTAAACAGGTTTCCAAAACCCATTCATGGACGATGGACCTGGAAGTATGTTATCGAGAAATTACATAGTTATTAATCGAGTGTTCAATAAAGGGCAGAAATAACTGCAACACCCATCCTCCAAAGGCCCGAATGTTTTTTTTTGGCATTCTGTACATAATCGTGAATTTTTTCTGCAGATTTCCGTGTCAAGATCATCAGCCAGCCAAGACATCGTCTTGTATTACTCATTGTCCATTGAAATCTTCTTCCTGAATTTGATGCATACGGTATAGACAATCATCTCCAATGTCAAAATTTTAGCAATTCAAATGCAAAGCTGTTGAAGAATTACAGATTTAAATTTTAAAGATATTCAAAGATGTTGTTACAGATGTTGCTAACAATTATTTAGCAATCTTGTTCTTCTGAAGGATACTATATTTATATCTGATTGTAATATACAATTATAAACTGGACATGCAAATGGTGTATGAAATTTGTTCCTGATTTTATGTTTGGAATGACCTTGCTACTTCCCAAGATTTGCTTCAGGAACTTGTTATGGCCATTTTTTTCAGCTACTTTGGTTATTATAAGCAGTCTTGCACCATGAGACGACAGGTTAGCTTCTGACAATACCACTTTACATGGGTGTAAACTTCACTGGGGGTATTGTAAACCAGGGCACTGACTCTCAAATTTACATTTACTTTCCCACTAATAATAATAATAATATAATCGGGTATTATTATTATTACTGTATTATTATTATTATTATTATTATTATTATTATTATTATTATTATTATTATTATTATTATTATTATTTGATCTACTATAGTCTGGTTTAATCTGAATTCGTTTCGACTTGGTCTGTTTTTTTCCCACATTACTCCATACTTCATTAATTTTGTTTACATAGTCGGTTATTATTGTAAATTTTTATCTTTAAATTGATAGTGTTTAAGACAGGCTGGTATATACTCCACTTCGTATGAATTATAGGATCTCAACTATTGATTAAAAGTTACTGGCCTTGGCAGCTACATAAGGAATCATAATGATTGTGAGCAGCTCATCAAAAGGTTCTATTTGATCGGTAAAAATTTGTTCATTAGTGATCAAATGAACATGGAATTCTTCACATTATTATCTTCCATGCATATATTTTTAAATTGTCTCTGCACTAAAATATACTCATAAAGAAACTTGAATTTCTATGCATCAAGGAACACTTACGGTTAGACTTCTCTAATATTAGTACGGTGAGTATCAATATTTTTTTTACACCATATATCTAAGCATACATACATTCAGGACGGTGTATAACTGCATATGAGTAATATGACCACATTGTTGCATAGATGCATGATACACTCGGGGCTTCGAATCGTTAGGGGTACAAACCGCCCATAAACACCCCTATGTGCACTTGGATGTACGATATGATTGCCTCATAAATAATTGTATTATTTACGAATACTACAATGCTTAGTTTGACTCCAACCTCATTTGTAGTTCTAGAAATGTTGATACTATAATTGTCATCTAATTTGTTGATTAAATAATCATTTGCTCTATAAAATAATTAATAATTCTAATTTCCCCAAATGGATGGGACACGTTGCTTACTTATTGGTAATAGTAGATGATAAGCAATTATATATTTATTCTGAAATATTTGACTGCCTTATATCCTTTCTATTGGTGGCCTATTTATAGATAACCACCCTTTAGTCAATGTTTCCCATGCAGAAACTCCACCCTTAAGAAAATATACCCTTTTCATCTAATTCAAAAAAACTGATTTATTAGTTCCTTCCAAAAAGTTAAAACCCAGAAAATAAAAAATGGGAAGAAAACCTTGCTGTGATAAAGAGGGATTGAAGAAAGGTCCATGGACATCTGAAGAAGATCAAAAGCTTATTGATTATATTCAGAAGTATGGCCCTGGTAACTGGAGATCTCTTCCAATGAAAGCAGGTTGGTTTTTAATCTGGCTTATTTGTCATCGGCTATGTTAGTCAAACTCTTCATTTCACCTCAAGTACCTGTATTGGATGCTTGACACGTTTCAGACTGGTGATCTATGTCAGACTCAAGTCCGAGTAACATAGATCATCAGTGCTAATACTGATTTTTTAGATGATTTATTTGTTGAATGCATGTATGTGATTTGATCTCCTAGTATAGGATGCAGTACTCATTGAACTTTTTTTATACAGGTCTTGAAAGGTGTGGTAAGAGCTGCCGGCTACGGTGGGCTAACTATCTCAGGCCAGACATCAAAAGAGGAAGATTTTCATTTGAAGAAGAAGAGACTATAATTCAACTCCATAGTATTCTGGGAAACAAGTAATTAATCTTCTTCTTATTTCATCTGTTACTACATTAAGCTTTTATTTACTTTTATACAAAGTCATAATCATTATACACATATAATTGACTGATGTAAAATTTTCTTACAGATGGTCTGCAATTGCTGCTAGACTACCAGGACGAACAGACAACGAGATTAAAAACTATTGGAACACTCACATTCGAAAGAAGCTGCTTCGTATGGGAATTGACCCTGTGACTCACGGCCCTCGCCTCGATTACTTTGACCTTCCTTCTATGCTCTGCAGTCAACAGAACTCACCCCTGATGAACTTGCCTGCTGTCTTACTTAATCTGCAGAACCTCCTAAACCCTGAACTTCTGAGATTAGCCACTTTACAAAATGGTTTCCCAAACTTCAACAATTCCCAAAACACAATTCTTAGTAATATGCTAAATAACAGCCCAGATAATCAAGTTCCTAGTGCACAAACTGTTAATCAAGTTGATCCCCCAATGCAAAATATTATTCCATCTTTTGATGAATTGTTAGGCTCATCCTCAACGGATAACTCGGGTTTTGTATCGAACAACAGTTACCAGAGTTTTAGCAACGGTAGCAGCTTCTCCACGGCGTTGTCGCCGTTGAGTTCAAGTCTTCTTCATCCTATTGATTCAAGTCCCACTTATCTTAACGGCAACAAGAGTACTGAAGATGAGATAGACAGCTACATCAGTAATGTAGAGAAGTTGTTTGAAAGTCCGGTTCTTTAATTAATGTTATGTTGTACAAGTAGTAACTTTTTTTTTTTTTCTTTTTTACTGCCTGGCCGCGGTAAAAAAAAAAAAAAAAAAAAAAAAAAAAAAAAAAAAAAAAAAAAAAAAGGAATATCAGACTGGGTTATATTTTGGACCGAAAAAATCTGCCTAAACTCGACATATTGGGTCAGATCAAGTCTGATCAAACTAGACAACGATAGGTTTTTTAAGTCATTTTATTTTTTACTGTGTACCAGACTACCAGTGTATAGCAGCAAAGTTCAATGTTGACAGCTAAACAAGTTTACAAGCGTTACATTTGCATATGAAATTAGATTAGTATAATTCATGCTTTGTTAATTTCAGTTTGTTTGATTTGAAGTTGGCATACTGTAGTGGATCAACTGTTCAACGAGTAACAACTAATTATAACAAAAACATAGTTTCACTCAATTACCTATTTACCTCTCAAGAGGAAGGCAGACATTTTTTTATATTTATTAACTGCCGGTTCTTAATGCTTTAGAATTTACTCGTAGATAAGTTCTATCAAAGGAGTATTGGTGAAGTGAACCAGGCTTACATTACAATTTTTTGATCAAATTTAAATTTTTTTAATCCACTCATGTACAAAGTAAGAAATAAAACAACTTGTTATATTAGTTTCAATGTCTACATTTAGATCATCAATTATTGTACGATTTATAATCCTACATACAATTAAAGATGTGATTTGAAGACCACGAAAAGTCAAATGGCGTAATCTTTAAGAGATGGATCGAGGGAGTGCCATAGATCACATAATGAAAAAATTATTTGTGTTTTAAATATTAACGCAATTAATGGATTCAATAAATTTTTATATATATATAAAGCCTTTTTGTTTGATATCGGGCATTTTGGCAGTTTGTTATCCATATAATAAAATGTGATTACCACCTCTAATTTTCGCTTATTGAACTTGATATCATAATAGGGAGATAGTCATATTAGCTTAGCCGTAAACCCATAACAGTTAAATTAGGGGCTAATTATATCATCTCAAGAACGGTGATCATCAGGTCGCTAATTAATCATCCCTAACATATATGTTCATAAGAATATGTTAGACATCAGTCCATACCTATAACATAATAATCAAATTAATAAATATATATGCAATGTATTATTATAAATCCAATTTTTTGAGATATAAGAACATAAAAAATTCAGATTTACGCAACCTTATCCTTAAATAGTCAAAGTAAATTACAGAGTACCTACAAAATTGTACTTCGTAATAGTCATTATACTTGTATATATTAGCAGCCACCAATTACCACACAATATACTTCGTATAATTGTATAAAGGAAAAACAAGAAAAGGGAAACCCAGTTCATATTAAAATTATTATATCATTATTGTTGTATACAGTTTTATAGATTCAATAAAAATAACAATAATATATTATATCAAGTTTGGGTGTTTAGCTGAGCCTTATATCTACTTGTTGCTTGAAAATTGCACGATGTTTAGTTACAAGTCAATTTGTTGTGTACTTCTGACTTCTCATGAAAGTGGACTGTAACCTAAGCCTCACATTACCATGCAATATTTCAACAGTTTGATTTTGCTGTGTTACTAATTGATTAATAGTAAACGTCAAAGCCCAAAGACTATAGGTATTATTGTATATTTGTATTATCTACTAATCTTACTCTCTTATTAAGTGTAGAAGAAGCTATTAAGTTGCGAATTAGCCTTAATGGATCATAAGACAGATAGTCATCAACAAATAGACCCTTTTTGGAAACAAATAGACCTTAACTATGATAGATTAGATCGGATAAATTTTCTTATTATATGCTAAAGAGATTTTTGGAAACAAAGGATCGGAAGCATGTTAATGTACATTCTCATCTGAAAGTATTCCAGCTAGTGTTGAATAATAGTAATTGACTAATGGTATTCATTGTATAGTTCCTTCATTCTACTCCGTACTATTTAAATCTCCCTAATTATTGACCAAAATCAAGTAAATGGGAAAGTTAGTAAAAAAAATAGTGGCCCCCCTTTTTTAAAGTTTGATTGTAAAGAAAAATTGGATTAGAGATATGAAAACAAAAAAAAAAAAAAAAAAAAAAAAAAAAAAAACAAAAAAATAATAATAAATGCACAGAGTATGTACTCCGTACAATTGTAAGGAAGTCACATTTCATTGCAATGTCGTTGTCCACTCAAAACATATTAGAGTTAGTAAGATTGAGTAAAAATGGTATCAATGGGAGAAAAATACATGTTTAGGAGGAAGTTGATTTCAAGACGAATTGACGACCATGAATATTATCATTTTATCATGAAACTTTGATTGTTCTAATATATGTAAAATTACAATGTCACTAAGCATGCATTATAATTTACTTATCGCCGAAATACTAAGTAGGTTACTCCCTCTATTTTTTTAAGTGTTTCGTTTTGACTGTTATGTCTATCAATGCAAAACTTTGATCAATAATGATTTTAATTATCAATATATATGTATAAATTCTAAAAGGTTGATATTCGAAAGCTATATATTGAAACAATATTAACAAATATTTATATAACTATATTTGATTTTATGTATAATAAAACACAAATATTGGCAAAGCGGTGTTTCTAAATAGTGCAAAAAAGTAAAAAATATAATGAGAGAGAGAGAGATGGCAAACCGGTGTTTCTAAATAGTGCAAAAAAGTAAAAAATATAATGGAAGAGAGAGAGAGAGAGAGAGAGAGAGAGAGAGAGAGAGAGAGAGAGAGAGAGAGAGAGAGAGAGAGAGAGTACGTAAAGATTGATTATGGATGTGAAATTTAAAGTAAAGTACAAAACACTAAGTACATTTGATTTTGCTGTTTATTTTCAACTTCATTTTATGAATATAACTATGATTAGCAAAAGAATTAATACCGTTTTTTAATCCCAATTTTTACAAATTTAGTTTCGTTAATCCCAACTTTGAATTATTCCTCAATAATCCTAACTTTAAGGTGGTCTATCATTCTTCATACCCAACCGATAACTAAACCTGTTATATCAGGTCACTTGACACATGTCAAGTCCTGATTGGTCTAAAAATTAAAAAACAAAAACAAAAAAAAAGTAAACAAAAAAAACCAAGCCCCACCCACAACCACCCTCCCCACCACCAGCCACGACCCCCTTTCAGAACCCCATCCCCGCCGCCGACTGGACACCCCTCCCCCGCGCCGGCACCGGTGACGCCTCTCCCCCTACCTCCTGAACCACCGGTAATGTTTTAACACACAGGCTGAGTAATCACAACTTAGTACCAGGAATGATTTAATGCTCAGGCAAAAAGAAACCTTAACAATAGATAGTTGTATGAAAGTTGGAATCATGGGTGCTCACAAACAACATAATTTCATTAATCAATATCTACAACTAAAAATTAATACACTAATACCCAAAATATTTCATAATCAAATTAATAAAAGTTGGAACAAGATAAAATCAAATACTACCAGGGACGTGGTTGAGGGAAATACTGATGGAGGAAAGGGGCGTGCTGAATGGTGGAAGAAATACGGTGAGTGTCGTCGTAACCACCGTAGTTCAATTTAAGGAGGGTGGCTTGAGAAAGGGGAAGGGAAGAGGGGGGTGGGGTAAGAAACACGGACCGGAAGGGGGAGGGGCACCAAAAACATGGACGGGAAGGGGAATAGGGTCGGAAACAAGGATAGGGGCTAGGGAGGGGTTTTCCGATGGGGGTGGTCTGGTGGAGGGGGCAGGTGGTTTCCGGAGAAAGGGGGCTAGGTAAAGGGATTTTTTATTTTAATTTTAAGATTTTTGTTTGAATTAAAATCATCATTATTATTTAAAAAAATGTTAAAACAAATTTTGGTTTTTTTTAAATATTTTTTTAACCAATTAATTTGTGACACGTGTCACTTTAACCAAAAAAAAAACCCATTCAATCGGTAACCGGTTTTTGGGATTGAAGAATGATAGACCACCTTAAAGTTGGGATTATTGAGGAATAATCCAAAGTTGGGATTAATGAAACTAAATTGGTAAAAATTGGGATTAAAAAACAGTATTAATCCTTAGCAAAATCCTTTATTTATTAGCAATTTAGCACTTTAAATTTTGATAAACTTCTACTCTTCTAGCCTTCTACTTACAGTTGACTTACTATATATAGCATAATATATACAGTATAACATTAATTAGAGCCTGGATTAAGTTTAATTTGTTGCTTGAAATCTAATTATAGATAATTAAAAATTATAAAAAGAACCTTTTGGAAACTACATTGTTGAAAATTAGCAAAATAATTGTACTTCTTGAGTCAACTGTTTACACATATACTTCTATTTCTAACATGCGCATTATAATCTTAGCCACAAATCACAAACAATATACGTAGTATTTCAACACTTTGATTATTTTTCTGTGTTGTTTGATAAACAGTACACTATACATTGAATTAAACCTTTTTAAAATAATTTTGTTGACATCTTGACTAAATTTGGACCGTCCGATTATCTCTCAAAAAAAATTATCACCTTCAATTAATGCAACAAGTGTCCATACATGCTTACGTACATAATAGTCATGCAAATGCTAATTTGTATGGTCCAACTTTAATGAAATTTTTGGTAGGTTTAAACTTGTTTTATTTCATTCACTATCTTATATTCTTATATTATATAGTTTTAATTATTTAATAATTATGTGAAGCTTGTTATAATTCGTTGATGATGACAGTTTTTTCAATCATATCACTGGAGTAGATAACTGACTACGTAGGAATTAATAATGTGCATGGATCATGGTTTTAATTAATTAATTAAAACAGCTGCCCTAATATCTATACACATACATGCATGCATGTATATTTACTATGTTTCTGTTTTCGTATCTTAAAACTATTCTTCAAGTTTAGTCACCGTACCAAGGGAACATCATTTAGTATATATTAAATTTTATTCCTCAAATTTGTGTTTAATTTGAAAAAGGTACGAGTAAGCGAATTCTTAACCACATATCTAATATTTTGAATACATTAAAGGTCTATTTTCGTCCGATTTTCAATTATATATCAAAAAATTGTTTAGCTTATAAATTATGTTGTGCTCTATTTATTTTATTTTAACTTGAATTATTTTTATTGATTGACTCACTATTTACATAATTAATTTTTTTTACTAATTAACATTAATTTATATTTTTACCGATTTAAAGTAATTTTACTTATTGAAATTTAATTGTTTTTTACTTATTTAATATAATTCCTATCGAAAAGAAATATTTTTTTAAAAGATATATAAAGGGAACGAATGAATTAGGCCTTATTCCCAAATTGAAATTACTTTCCTTGAAATGC